ACGGGAGCCGTATGTAAAGCCTCCTGGTTTGGATCCCGGTTGACCTGAACATGCAGTGTGCTCATGATCCCGGCTGGCTGGAAACCTGGCAACTATTACCACAATTTTAGAGTACGTTTCACATCCTAGAAAGAAATGTGTACCCTTCAGCAGTCATCCTTCATATCCTCTCAATCCCCTCAGCCCTAGGTTTAACCACTGATCTATGTTCTATTTGGCATATTTCATATAAATGAAATCAACATTTAAAAATAAAAGAATTATTCAACTATTGATTTATTTTAATTTGACCAGAGAGAAAGGGAAAGCGAGAAAGCAAGCTGCCAGGTCTGAGACTCAAACCGTGGTTGGCCATGTGGGAGTCCATGACCCTTAACCACCACACCACCTGCTGGCCCCCAAGCTCTCATTTTCTCACCATGTGTGTGATGCCCTGCTCCGTCTCAGCCTCTGTAGAGAGCCCCCCACTGACTCGATGATACTGCCACCAGATACTGCCCCTTGACCTTGGACCTCCAAAACCATGAACTACATAAACCTATTTCTGTTGGTTATTAAGCAACGGAGAACGGACTGAGACAGTAGGTGAAAGATTAAAAGGAGACCATGTGACCAGAGCAGTGACAAAGAAAATGTTAGTGGGAGGCCCAGAGTGGATTCTGTCCTGGGATGAGAAATGTCAGGGAGGGTTTTGTTTTTTTTTTTTGGAGAGTTTGTTTGTTTGTTGTTGTTGTTGTTTTTTGTTTTTTGGGGGGGTTTTTTTGCTATAGGGCATGTGCGCTCGCCAGAAAGAGAGAGACAGAGACAGAAAGCAAGAAATCACCCCCCCAGGGGGATGGCCACGCCGCAATCCCTTCTCCTCCATTCCCCTCTCGGAATCTTGGACATGCACGCACACACACCTGGCATGAGTTTAAGCCACCAGGTCCAGGACTCAAACCGCAGTCTACTACATGGGAGTCCAGCGACGCAGCCATTACGCCAACGGCTAATCCCATGTTAGGGAGATTTTGAAAAGAGTGACATCAACTTGTTACAAGAGGATCACTATGAAGACTGGAGTGGGGAGGGTCTCCAAAGAGCGGGGTTGGCCAGCTGAGTTGCACTTGTGACATGCTTGAGGCGTGAGCCAACAGAATACTACCATGCTCAGTACATACTATGGTGCAATAGGTGTGTTTCTGGAGCATCATGGGAACTGAAGAGAGGGCCCTGGCTCAGTCATGGGGGAAGTGGAAATCAACCCTTGAAGGCCACAGAAAACCAGGTGAGCTCAGCAGATGTAGGAGCAGACACATCACACAGGCCTGAAGAAAACCTTGCAGCTGGTTTCATGTCCTTGGAGGGGCCAGGCAGGGCGAGCAAGGGCAGGGGGCCGGCAGCGTCGTAGTAGCCAATACAGAACCCTTCCCATGGGTCCAGCGCTATTTACAGTACATATTTTATCTCCTTTGTTTCTCAACGAAACCTTTAGATAGCAACAACTACTCTCATTTTACAGATGAGGGTAGGACCTGCAGATACTGATGTGACCAGGGTCATACTACCAAGTGGTGTTCTGGGTTCAGGTCCAGGACACCAGGGAGGCTTCAAGTGCACACACGCACCCCTCACTCACCCCCATGCTGGGGCAAGGGGTGGAGCAGGAAGTGGAGGTCTATTTATCTCTACAAATGGCCCCTATTTGATCTGACAGTCAATAGAAGTACCCGGATTTGCCCCAACACGGGGCGGAGGGCTGGGGCAGTCCCTGTTGTGCCGAGGGAAAGGACACCTTACCGGGGCAGCTTCATAGGCCTGCGGCAGGACCCCGCGCTTGATGTAATGCTCTGCTGCTTTGAAATAATCATTTGTGGCTAAGGTGCACCACACTTTCATTTCTCAGTTGCCACGCAAACTATGTAACCCTCTCTGACCATACCGAACACCGTGCACACTGCACTTTATGGGCAGTTGGAGGGATTCTGGAGGGTCCAAAAGCCTGGGCCCACAGATAGTCTGGGTAAGGCGTGGCAAGAGCGCAGGACGAGGCGTGGGGTACCCCAGCGCTTACCGGGTCTTAGCATTAGGTGCTGTTATGTGGGGGTTCTGATAGTGACCCCTTCGGGGTCGGGCTAGCCTAAGGTGCGCAGCCGCGCAGAGCAGTGCTCGCTAGGACTGGGGCGGGACGGGGCGCGCGGGCGCGCAGGTCCGGGGCGGAGCAAGTCGCCAGACTCCTCCTCCGTGTGGCCTGGCGGCGGCCGCGGCTCCACTACCAAGTAGGTCCCAGGAAGAGGAGGAAGAAGCGCAGGCCGGCGATTCCCAGCGTGCAGCGGTGCTGCAGCAGCCATGGAGCCTAACGTGCGCTTCTGGGTCACGGAACACCAAGTACGGCGCGGGCTGGCGCGGCTGGGGACAGGGAGGGCGCAGGCCCGGTGACCTTGGGCAGCCCACGTGGTCGTCCCGCGCCCACTTTTCAAGGCCTGGAAAAGAGCTTGATGCCCACATCACCTGCTCAGGTTCTGGGAGGGGACGAGGAGAAACCCTAACTTGCTGGATGTCCTAGGTCACGGCTGTTACCGTGTATCACCTCGGTGCCTGGCCCAGCCAGGGAGGGTTGTCGCAAGGTCACTGTCCAGTGCACCCAGGCAGAGCCTAACCCTGCAGGTGCCCGCTCTGTGTTACTTGAACTGTTGCTGAGCAGCATTTTGGGGGCAAAGAGGTCCTCTCAGCCTTCCCCCGTCCCCTTGGTAGGCTTAGTCACTCACTGAAACCCCCAGGACCAAAGCCACTGGGGACAGAAAGTAAGACAGGCTCACCTCCCTACATCGTTGTGGGCTGTGCTGACCCGCCCCGTAGAGATATGATGTGAGCCACACGGGTCATTTTAAAATTTCTAGTAGCCACATTAAAAAGAAACAGCTGGGAACCAGCAGATGGCTAGCGATTAGGTTGCTGGACCCCCAGTGACCAATTGCGTTCAAGTCACAGACTTGTGGCTTTTTAAAAATTTATTCATTCATTTATTTTCATCTGACCAGAGGGAGACAGAGAGTGAGAAAGCAAGCCACCAGGTCCAGGACTCCAACCACCCACCGTGGCCATGTGGGAGTGTCCAGTACCTTAACCACCATGCCACCTGCTGGCCCCCAACTGGTGGCTTTAAAATCACAGTGGATGTTCTTCATGCCAGAGATCCTAGGAGGAGAATGGAGGAGAAGGGATTGCAGAGTGGCCATCTCCCTTAGGGGGTGACTCCTCACTTTCTCTCTCACTGTGTCTGTCTCTCCTGCGAGTGCATCACCCTAAGGCCAAAATCGTCTAAAAACAAACAGCTGAAGTAAATTTTAATGGTACATTTAGCCCAACAGGTGCAAAATATTAATACTTTAACTTGTAATCAGTAAAAAGCATTCATGAGATATTTTACATCCTTTTCTGGTGCACAGTCTTGAGCTCTGGTATATGTGAAGGGTCTTCAAAACATTTATGAAAGATATTTATTATTTTAAAAAATTGCGTTCTTTTATTTATTTATTTATTACCACAATAAAATAGCTTAATTTCATTGTTCTGCGAAGGTCTCTCATGTGCTATATACACAAAGCACATCTTAATTCAGCCTGGCCACATTTCTTCTTTTTTTATTTTAATTGCCAGAGAGCATAATCCCTTCTCCAGTTTTCCATCCTGTCAAAATTTGGGGCATGGCTGTACATGTGCCCAGCACGTATTTCAAGCGATCAGGTGCATTTGAACCACCAGTGGCCATGCGGGATCCGGCTCCTTTAAGCATAGGCTAAGGGCAGCCCCACCCTGCCCGCATTTGGAGTGTTCTGTCACCCCGTGTGGTGACTTGGACTGCCAGTCCTGTATTTTCAGGTGGAGTAGTTAAGAAGGGACTGGGAGCTCAAGTTGCCTTGGCAGAGTCAGGACTTAAAGCCAGAACCACTGCATTGTTTGGGGCCTGGTTGGAACAGATGGTCTGCTTTTTCCGCATGTGACCTGAACTGCATTTATTGGGGTGTCTGTTCTTCATTACTGGAGTCAAGCCTTACAACCCCAAGAGTGAGGAAAGAGATTTCAGACCTTTCAAGGTAGTGGCTTTGAGTTCATTGTGGGCCCATTTGAACCCCAAAGTCTGAGCTTTGCTCCACCAGGAGCAGACTGCTGAGTCATTCGCTGGCCATGGTACCTTAGTCCCTTCGTGAACCCACGTAAGCCTCAGCTTCCTTACCTGAGAAATGGGGGTGCCGTGACAAGTCCAAATGATGCCCTTAGAAGGTGGATCACAGGACAGGGTCCTGGAGGTAAATGGTAACTGTTACTATTATCTTTGTTCTTCTGCTGCCATTAACCTGCTCTCTGGTGCTTTTCTTCCTCCTAAGTCTTTTTTCCAACGACTTCGTCTGTGGATAGAATTACTAGATCCTACGAATGTGATCATTTCAGTCGTAAGTATTTTCCTTCTCAGTCTTTCAGAATTAATGAATTTCACATTTTCTTTTGAAACTTGAAGACTGCACATCCCTTTTAAAAGCAGTCAAGAGGCCAGCAAGTGGTGTAGCAGTTACATCACTGGACTCCCACATGGCCACGTGCAGTTTGAGTCCCAGACCTGGTGGCTTGAAAATCATGCCAGGCACGTGTGCATGTATGTGTGGCCAAGATTCCAGAAGGAGAAGGGGTTGTGGCATAGCCATCCTCCAGTGAGCACTCATGCTCTAAGGCAAAAACCTTTTTTTTTTCCTAGAGATTTTTTTGCTATAAGGCACATGCCCTCGATCAAGAGAGAGGGAGAGGGACAGAGAGACAGAAAGCGAGAGATGACCATGCCATAATCCCTTCTCTTCCACTCCACTTTCCTCTTGGGATTTTGGGCACATACGCACATGTGCCCAGCATGAGTTTGAAGCTGCTGGGACTTGAACCTGGCTGGTCATGTGGAAATTCAGCAACATAGCCACTATGCCATTTGCGCTCATCCTGGTGAAAACCTTTTTTTTTAAAAACAAAAAAAAAAAACCAAACAAAAAAAACGGTTGAAATAACAAAGTGTCTCTGTATTATTATGTTTTTATTCCTTTCCAATGAAGCAGTTAGATGGAGGTGCCCCATCACCAGTAATAACCCTTCAGGGAAAAACCCAGAGGGACACTCCCAAACACATACTCAAGATGTTCCTTATAAACTTGTTTATCATAGTAAGAACAAAATAAAAAAGAAACAATGAAAATTCCTACCAGTAGGGAGATAGATAAATATAATACAGCATGTTTATAAAGTGGGATTTTGATTAGCTATTTAAAGTGATGAACTATTATCAATGTGATATTAAGTGAAAATATATATATGATATTAAATAGAAAAATGTTGGGGCCAATAGGTGGTTAAGGTGCTGGATTCCCACACGGCCTTTTGCGATTCGAGCCCTGGACCCAATGGCTTGAAAATCATGCTGGGCATGTGTGTGTACATGCTCAAATTCCCAAAAGGAGAATGGAAGAGAAGGGATTGTGGTGTGGCCATCCCCCCTGGGGGGTGATTTCTCATTTTCCCCCTCTCTGTTTCTCTCTGGTGAGTGCACATGCTCTAGGGGAAGAAAAAAAAAAGGAAAAGGTGTTTAGTGGAAAAAGCAAGATGCATGCAGCATAGCAGTTATGCAAATTATAACCAAAAATACAATATTAGTTTATGAGTACATGTATTTATGTATGTATATATGGTTAATATTAAAAATATATACTAGAATAATGTACCTTGAGCTAATAATAGTGGTTACTTCTGATAGGATGGAGAGAGAAATGAGACTAGAAGTAACGATACTTTTCAAAAAGTAAAATTAGAAGTAAATATAATGAAATGTTTGCTAACAGTATTTCTAGGTGAGGGGATTGCATTTTTGGTATTTAGTGTTTTTTTCTTTCTTTCCTTTGTTTTTCCTTGAGAGTATTTTTAGCTATAGGCACCTGCGCTCTCTGGAGAAACAGAGAGACAGAAAGCGAGAAATCACTCCGAGGAGGGAATAGCCACACTGCAGTCCTTTACCCTTCTCCTCTGTTCTCCTCTCAGGATTTTGGGTACATACATGCTCCCAGCGTGAGTTTTAAGCTGCTGGGTCTGGGACTCAAACCATGGTCAACTACATGGGAGTCCAGCGATGTAATCATTACGCTATCTGCTGGTCCCGGTATTGAGTATTTTTTCTTAAATTAAGAAAAAGAGAAAGGAACCGAGATTTATCTGATGGATACGGGGGTGGGCGAGAGAAGAGGGACTTCCTGGTGTCTGACTTGCACAACCAGTGGCTGGTGGTACTGTTCACCAAGACCCTGGACCTCACAGAGGCAGGGAGGTGGCAGCAGCAGAGGAGAAAGCGTGGGAGCTGTCTAGGAAGCTGGGAGGGCCAAATCTGGGTGACACATGCACCTGTCCTAATGGAAGCACTCGAGGATTAGAGAGCCTGAGCCTGCATGGTATGTTGGAATCGGGTGTGAGCTGAAAGGGAGCTTGTGATGCCAGAGTCTGTGGATAAGTCTGAACAATGTTAAGACCACTTACTGATTTTTTGATATATGGTTATAGGAAAAAATAGAAACATTGAGGCAACTGTTGTTCACAAATGAAGAGGCACCTATACATGTCTCGGAGGACGAGAAGGTATGTCTTGTGTGCCCAGGTATGCCCTATTCAAGGCTGAGTGTAATTGCCTTCCCATGGTTCTGTCTTCATGGTCTAAAATCAGATGGCATTTTGACCGTTCATCTTGTAAACACTGCTGAGGAGTCAGCTTTTCAAAACTCAGAGTTTTTTTTTTGTTTTCTGTAATTAAAAAAAATTTTTTTTAATTTCCTTGATGAGAGAGAGATATAGGGACACATATCCAAAATAGTGTGCCCTCTTGCAATACTCTTCCCCAGCCTTTCTAGCAGCCAGGGTCATGGCGTGTGTGTGTACATGCATGTGTGTCTCTCTCCCCACCCTTCATGTTCCAGGTATCTGAACCCTGAATGACCATGTGACTAGCAATGCAGAGCAGCTCTTAAATTACTTTTGCTGCAGCAGCTGGGCCACAGTTAGTTTTTTTAATTTTATTTATTTATTTATTTAAAATTATATTATTTAACTGTATTTATTTATTTATTTATTTATTTATTTTTATTTAACCAGAAAGGGACAGAGAGAGAGAGAGAGAGAGAGAAAGTAAGTTAGAAAGCAAGCTGCCAAGTCTGGGACTTGAACAGCTGTTGGCCATGTGGGAGTTCAGCACCCTTAACTACCATGCTACCTGCCAGCCCCACACCCCCAAATTTTATTTATTTAAAAGAATTTTGGGGGGGACCATCCAGGTGGTGGGGTGGTTAAGGCAGCTGGATTCCATATGGCCAACTGAACGTTTCACATCCTAGACCCTCTTGCTGTATATAGAACTTTCTGGAGTTCATAAAAATCAGTTCCTAAAGGCTTGTGGAAGCTCACATGTTTAACTTGCTCTCTGTGGGAATGGCCACACCATAATCCCTTCTATTCTTGGGATTTTGGGTATGCATGCACACGTACCCGGTATGACTTTCAGGCCTCTGGGTCTAGGACTTGAAGTGTAGTTGGCCACGTGGGAGTCCAGCGACATAACCATTATGCCATCTGCTGGTTCTAGAGATAGGACTTTTAATGCTCTGGTCAGTTTCTTCTTTATGTAAACTCTCTCTTTGCTTGTCATAATTTTATGTTTATCCATTTGATTCTCTCATTCATTTTTTTAAAGCTTATTTATCTCCTCTCTAAGAGAGAGAGAGACAGGCACACCCGATAGAGTACCCACAGTGTGATCCAGCCCCAGCCAGCCCAAGTCATAGGCATGCACACATGCCCAGCATGCACAGGGAGGCCACAGGACACTTGAGGATCTCCCTCTGTGGCCCCAGCTTCACTATTGTCTGGCCCCATTGATTCATTAGCATTTGGCCAGAGGCCGTGTGCACTCACTAATGAGAGACAGAGAGAGGGAAAGTTAGAAACCCTAATGGGGTATGGTCACACCTCAGTCCCTTCTCCACCTTTGTGATTTCGGACATGCATACAAACCTGCCTGATGTGTTGTTGTTGTTGTTTTTTAATTTAATTTAATTTATTATTATCATAATTTTATAAAATTACATTGAACACATATACCTTTTTAAAAATAATTATTTAATTTTATTTATTCATTCATTTATTTTAATTTGACCAGAGAGAGACACACAGAGAGAGGGAAAGTGAGGAAGCAAGCCTCCAGGCCCAGGACTCGAACCGTGGTTAGTCATGTGGGAATGGCCAGCACCTTAACCACCATGCCACCTGCTGGTCCCCTAATCACATATATCTTTACATGTATTACATTTCTTTTTCCAGCATGATTACCATGCATATCAGTCAAGACAAAGACAATACTATCCATATCATCATCATCAAATAGCTTTTTGTCTTTTTTTTTTTCAGATTATTATTATTTATTCTCATTATATTTTTAAACATTCAATCACTATATATCATTTGTTTGTTTGTTTTTGTTTTGGAAAGGTTTTTGCTATAGGACGTGTGTGCTGGCCAGAAAGACAAGAGAGACAGAAAGCAAGAAGTCACCCCCAAGGGGTGAGATCATGCCACAATGCTTTCTCTTCCATTCTCCTCTCGGGATCTTGAGCACGCACACATATGCACCCAGCGTGAGTTTAAGCCACCGGGTCCAGGACTTAAACCACGGTCGACTACATGGGAGTCCAGCAATGTAGCCATTATGCTATCAGTTGGTCCCAATTATTTGGGACTCAAACTGTGCTTGGCCATGTGGGATCCAGCTGCCTTAGCTACAATGCTGCTAGGTGTCCATATGTGTGTATATACATACGTGTGTGTGTGTGTATGTATGTGTGTGTGTGTATACACACACATATGTATGTATGTATATATTTCATATATTTCAACTTCTTCCATGAAAGAGAACAAGAGAGACAGATAGTGTATTCAATAGGGGCTCGATGCCATGACCCTCCCCCAGCTTCAGCCAGCTTGGATCATAGACACACTAGTGCCTGGCATACTGATGGGGCGTCTCCAGATGCAATCCTGGAACCTTCCATGTGGGTCAGCCTTGCAGAACCTCATGTTTTAGCACTGTGCCATTACCTGGCCCTGTTTTGTTCATTTTGGTTTGTTTTTTCCACATGATAGACAACATCAGCTCTGGATTTTACCCTCTGCAAGGGAGAGCTAAGGTAGCATCAGAAATTGGCTGCCTAGACACCTTTCAAAGCTCTTGTTTTTGTCTTTTTAGATACAAGAAGCTTGGAAGAGGAGTCTTGTAAGTTTCAGCCCCTTCCAAAATTTTAGCCTCATGAAATAACAGAAGTGGGCATTCAGCTAATAACCTTTTGCATATACTTTTTTAAAGTCAACAGTGCATCCAGACAGCAGTGAGCTGATACCAGCTCTCTTGCGACCTGCAGGTAAGTAGTTTTTATTTTCAGATTGGGGTGGGAAGACTTGGCTTCTAACACTTAGGAAACTGCCTGCTTTATTTTAACTTGTTTTACTCTAAAAGGATTTTCTGATGGTGAGTCTGAATCACAGCTTAAAAAGAATGCTCAAAGGGTCTGGAGTTGACAGTGGAGAAGAGTTAGCTTAGAACTGGGACCAGTCCTGCAGAAGGTTCTGGGCTTTGGGAATAAGGGACTGACCTATAAGAGAACACCCTCCGCTACTTCATGTCTCAGTGAACATACTGATGATGATGCCATTAATGGTTCCAGAACTCACAACTCTCAGTGCCAGGATTGGGGATGCTAGTTCGTATTCTTTCTCTTATTTTCATCATGTAGCTGAGATGAGGTGTAAAATTAATGATCTTTCTGACTCTCAAATTCCCTCTCAAAAAAAAGTTTGTGGAAAATGTGTTGTTTTTGTTTTTGTTTTTGAGAGGTTTTCGCTATAGGGCACGTGCCCTCGCCAGACAGACAGAGAGAGACAGAGAGACAGCAAGCGAGAAATCACCCCCCAGGGGGGATGGTCACGCCGCAATCCCTTCTCCTCCATTCTCCTCTCGGGATCTTGGGCACGCACACACATGCGCCCAGCGTGAGTTTTAAGCCACCAGGTCTGGGACACAAACCACGGTCGACTACGTGGGAGTCCAGCGACATAGCCATTACGCTAACTGCTGGTTTCCGAAAATGTATATTTTTTTAAAAATGATGTGTGAATTCCAAAATTTGCACCAAAATAAGCTCTTTAATTTCATTTATCCATAAACTTTTTGAAGTGCCCTCGTATATTATAAACAAGAGACTGGAAATAATGTAAATGTCTAACAACTCAGACTGTAGTTAAATAATTCATGAGGAAGAATGAGGTACGCTCTGTCTACTTCTGTGGAAAGATAAATCTTTAGGAATTAGTATTAAGGGGAAAAAAGCAAAGCATAAAACTGTATAGTGTTCCTGTTTGTATAACTAAGGGCTGTGTGTGAGAGAGAGGATTTGTGTATATCCTGGTGATGTCCTTAGTTTATCTGGAAGGATGAACAAGTAACAGTTTGCACTGCTTAGCTCTGGGGAGGTTCGAGGGAGACTTTTCCTATTAGGTCTTTTTGTTCTATGTTTTTTATTTTTTGCCATATGTATATAGCTATTATTTTTATTAGGAAAAAAAGAAAGAGTGGAAATGTCCTTTAAGGTCTGTTCCTCCAGGAGGCTGGAGAAGAGTTAGGCGGGCAGTGCCCCTCTGGCCTCTTCTTTGCCTCAGCGACTGCACCCACTGACAGCTCTGCTCTTCTCTGCCAGCTTTCCTGCCCCTGATGGCGCCCACGGTGAGTAAGTTGCTACTCACTGCTAGGAAACCTGACAAGGGTTAGGAAGATATCTACCCACCTCCAGCTCCAGACCCCTGTCCTCAAACTGCCAGATAAATGGACACCCCCTCTGACCCTTGTCATATATATACACATCCCACCCCTACCTCCACCCACTTACCCAGTTAGGTGTCTGGTTCTCTTGAAGGTCTACAGTGTCAACAGGTCATGCTTTATTTAAATAGCTTCCGGGACCAGCAGTTGGCATAATGGCTATGTCGCTGGACTCCCGTGTAGTCGACTACGGTTTGAGTCCCAGATCAAGTGGCTTAAAGTTATGCCAGGCACGTGTGCGTGCGTGCCCAAGATCCCAAGAGGAGAATGGAGGAGAAGGGATTGTGGTGTAGCCATCCCCCCTGGGGGGTGATTTCTCTCTTTCCTTTCTCTCTGTCTTTCTGGCGAGTGCATACACCCTATAACAAAAACCTCTCCAAAAAAATAATAATAATAAATAAAATATTTAAACACCTTCTGTGCTCAAGGCATTATGGTGGTCAGCGAGTTCATAAAACTTGCTTCCTGCCACAAGCCCTTTGGAATTATTCTGCACCTACTCTCTCAAATCTTCCCCTGACACAGCCCCTCTCCCGGGACAAGAAGTGGCCCCCATTGGTTCTCAGGAGCTTTGTGTCACCATCATTCCCTCCTTACTCCTTCCATACTTGCTCCGTGTCGCCTCCCGTGGTGGGTGTGGATTCCTCGCTGCCCTGCTGCAGGCCTCGGAGATGGGCCCACGTGAGGTTGCGGGTGCCCCCAGAGCCCAGTAGGAACATACTCCATGTTGGCTTATCCACTGACTGGGAGCCCCTGAACCTGCCCCGTCCCCCGTGCTTTGCGGTCGCAGCTCCTGCAGAGCACATTCCAACATCTCCCCTGGAAAGTTCTTTGCTCCTGCAGTCTCCCTCTCTCAAAACTACTTGTAACTGCTCTACTTTTCTTCTTATAAGGTATTCTTTTCAATGATGCCAGCAAAAGGGATAAAATCCATGATTTTACCTCAGGTAACAATTTTTTCTATCTCATGATTACTGAATTCTGTTATTCTTGAATCCAAAATGTGACCATTCGCCTCTCTTTCTGCAGGTTTCCTTATATACCTACACTACTGCTTTCAACATTTCTAACGGAAATGCAAGTTACGTGAGTATTAGGAGACCCAGAGAGTGTGAAACTGGTATTATTTCTTTTAGACTTGTTTGGGGTTTGTTTTTAATGGCCAGAGAGTGTGCATGCTCACCTGAAAGAGAGGGAGGGAAAAAGCATCCCCCCCAACAGGGCATGGTTGTGCTGCAAACTCCTCTTATCTCTCCATCCTTTTGGGATCTGGAGCACGCAAGCGCATGTGCCTGGCATGTTTCTCACTTCCAGGGGCCAGGATTTGAACTGCAGTTGGCCATGTGGAATCCAGCTCTGCTAACCACTAGGGTTGATTTGACTTTTTTTCTTTTTTTCCCTTGATTATCCCTGCTGGATAAAAACTGTGTAGTTACTAAATTTATATTTTTATTTTTCCTTAGAGTCGTCATCTGCATGAAAGTGTGTTATTAGGGACAGGAGTAATTGCTTCTTCAACCTTCCTTGGAGTAGGTATTTTGAAAATCTGTCAAATCTTTTTTATTCCTCAAAATCTAAAAGCTTTATTCTGATTACAATTTTAAGTTATGTTCCAACTTCGTTTAGAAAGTATGACTAGGAATAATGGCCAGACAGTATCACAGCAGTAATGCAACTGGATTCAAGTGGGCAGGTATGGGGTTGTGTCCTGGGACCTCCTGTACATTTCAGGTTTGCTTGTGCCTATCAGCAGTCTGGGTTGACTAAGTGTGTGCACACACGCGCCTGGCATGAGTTTCAAGTCGAACTGTGGTTTGCCATGTGGGAGTCCAGTACCTTAACCACTATGCCACTGGCTGGCCCCAATTAGTAATATACTGTTTTAGATGTTTTTTCCATAAGCTAGTGTGCACGCCAGACAGAAACAGAGAGAGGGCAAGTGAGAAATCATCACTGAGATGGGATGGCCACACCACAGTCCCTTCTCCATTCTCCTCTTGGAACTCGGCACATACACAAACTTACCCAGTGTGTTTTTTCAAGATGCCTAGTCGGGGACTCAGACCTCAGAGTCAGTCACACAGGATCCAGTGCCTTAACGATCATGCCATCTTCTGGCCTCTCACCTAGTAATCTTCTTAAAAATTAGTTTTTGCTACACAAATGTTACACAAATTGTATATTGTTTTGGCTGTTCGGATACTATAATGGTTTAAATGTAGTCTTTGGAGTCAGGCAAATCTGGGTTCCTTTCCAGGCTCAAACCCTTGATGGTTGTGTGACTGGGCAAATTATGTAACCTCTCTGAGTTCCTGTTTACTTCTCAAATGAACAGAGAGAGCTCCTCAATGTTATAAGAATTAAAACAAAATAATACACACAGAGCACTGGCAGTGGGCTGGGCCAACCTATGATAGAGCTAGGTCAGTGCACGCTCTCTGCTTTTGAGTATGCTCAGCTGGATTTTTGGTCCCATGCAAAAATAATTCTTCTTTCTTGTTTCTAGATGATCCCTTATTTGGTCCAATTGAAATTTTCCCTAGATAACATTTGGATCCGAAGAGCCTTACCCGTTTTCTTTCTTGGTGAGTGGGGAGGGCAGGGAGCATGCAGCCTGGGGCTTGCCTTTGTGGTCTTTGGTCCTTCCATCTCCAGAGACTCCTGGGTCCCCCTTGGTCACATCATGATCAGTGACAGCCTCCATTTGAAACGTGCTGGGGCCCTAGGCCCACATTAGGTCTTTTTGGTTTAGGGATGATATTTGCCCTGTAGGTACCCCTCCCTCTGTCAAAGCATGGACACAAGCCCAAAAACACTAATTGCATTTTTAAAAATAATTTTTTATTTTATTTATTAATTATTGTTACTATTATTATTTTTATTTGTTAAAGGGCATGTGTGCTCACCAGAGAAAGACAAAGAGAGAAATTGAGGGGAAGTGAGAATGCAAGCCTTCAGGTCCAGGATTCTGAGTTGGCTATGGGGAGTCCAGGCCCTAGCCAACTGCTGGCCTGCTAATTGCATTTTAAAGATTATCTGTACAAACCCTTTACATAATTTCACCTAATCCTGAGAGCGTATAGGTAGGAACTGTTACCATTGATGGCTGGGTATTCAAATCTCTTCTCTTCCTAATAACTGAAAAATATGGGTCTCAATAACTTAAGAGAATAAAGGTTTATTCAGGTCACAGTTCGGAGGTCAAAGGCCCAGGGCCATATCTTCTTCACAGCCTGGTAGAGAACTTCAGCAAAGCTGTCTTGTACCCGTCTGGGTCTCATTTCCTCATTTCCTGCCTCATTTCCTCTCCTTTTAAATCCACCTAGACTCATTCAAGGGGCCTGCCCATGGGACCAGCAGTTAGCTTAATGGCTATGTCGCTGGACTTCCATATAGTCGACTGCTGTTTGGTCCTGGACCCGGTGGCTTAAACTCACGCCAGGCATGTGTGCGTGCGTGCCCAAGATCCCAAGATCCCGAGAGGAGAATGGAGGAGAAGGGATTGCAGCATGGCCATCCCCCCTGGGGGTGATTTCTCCCTTTCTATCTCTCTGTCACTCTCTGTCTTTCCGGCGAGTGCACGCGCCCTATAGCAAAAACCTCTCAAAAAAATAAATAAATAAAAAAGGGGGCCTGCCCTGTCTAGTTGCTGATCCCCTCCCAAAGGCCCCACTCTTCAGCACAATCTTGGATCAATTTTTCACCCTTTTAATCCCATCACAGTGACTCAACACCTAAATTTTGGGGTGGGGAACACTCAAACTCAAACTGCAGCAGATGAGGAAACTGAGGCACAGGAAGGTCAAGTAACGGGCCCTGAGTTATTTAGCAAGCAGACGGTAGTGTGGGGTCACAAGTGGGCAGGCTCCAGAGGAGTGGTGGAGTTACTCGCCAAACCTTTTGAGTTTGCCAGCCTGCAGGTTCGCTGGTTCATGCTCTCAATTTGGGTTTGGGAGCCGAGCGGTGTGAAGAGTCAGCAGAACAACATCCATGGTGAAATGGGGAAATCACGTGACAGAGAGACCTGGTCAGACCGGCTTCAGCAAAGATAGGAGGTGTATTTTAAGGATTCCGGGAATCTTATCGGCAAACCAGGCTGGGTTTCATGTGCTGGAACCTGGTGCTGGGCTGGTCAGGATCCAAGATTGAGTGACCAGCGGTTCTGAATCAATCTCCACACCCCAGGAGAGGGTGGCAGGTCCAGTGTGTGGCAGGTGACCCTGAGGTTCAGAGAAGACCACCTGTCAGAGAGAGGCTTGACATCAACCGGAATTTATCCCCCTGTTGCATTCTTCTTTTTTCTACATTGACAGCCCACATCAGTGGAATGAATGTTTTTACATCCCGAAGTTTGGAGCCCATTCGAGGCATCCAGGTCATGGACAAGGAAGGCAATGTCATAGGCCATTCCAAAAGAGCTGGGAGAAAGGTAGGGGGTACCTGGACTGGGGGGATTGTCTGCCGAAGTGGGACTTTCCCTCTGAGAGCTGGTAGCAAATTCACATCTGCCTTCAGTGTCTCCCTACTCTGTTGTCTCTCGTGCCAACAGAGAGATCTCGCGTAGTGTCCTCTGAGATTTAAAGATGGCTCATTAGTCTGGGTTTTTCTGAGAAACAGAACTGATAGGATGTAGGTGCATCCCTAGGAAGAGGTTTTGCCTTAGGGGACTGGCTCACAGGATGGTGAGAAAGGTAAGTGGGGAATACTTAGGGTGGGCCTGCTACAGTCTGGAGGCAGAATTTCTTCTTTAGGAAACCTTCATGTTTGCTCGTAAGGCTTTTCAACGTTTGGGTGAGGACCTCCACATTATGGAGAATATCCTTTATTAAAGTCAGTGAATTGTAGGTGTTAAACACATCCACAGTACCACCCATCAATAACTGGGTGCTGTCCCCAAGTTGGCCTGTGAGACTGACCACCATGGTTGACATCTAACAAGTGGTAGGCTCCTCTCTGAGTGTGAGATCTTTTTCAGGGTCATTATCCACCATCACAGTTGGTGCCAATTGGGAGTCCCTCTTGGGGACCACACCCCCATCCTCAGCCTGCCCTTTACTCGGAAAGGTCAACAGACACCCCTTTCTAGGTTTAAAGGAAGCCCTCTCACTTCTACTTCATAGCAGATTTTCTTGTAGGCTCCATCTTGAAGGGCCAATTTGTTGTCCAGGTGGACTTAGGAAATCCATGTTCTTAATGAAGACTTTTATAAAAAGACTTCAACTGGCCCAGCAGGTGGTATGGTGGTTAAGAGGTCAGCTGCATGGTTCAAGTCCCAGACCTGGCAACTTGAAAAACTGGGCAGGGCCAGCAGGTAGTGTGGACTCCCACATGACTGACTGCAGTTCGAGTTCCAGACCTGACAGCTTGCTTTTTCTCTCTCCCTCTGGGAGTGTATATGCCCTATAGCTAGTCAAATAATAATAATAAAATAAAAGAAATCATTATTTTTTTTTAAAAAAAGAAAGTATGAAAAACACACTGGGCCTGTGTGCGTGCATGCCCAAAATCCTGGGAGCAGAATGGAGAAGAAGGGATTGTGGTGTGGTCATACCCCCTGAGGAGTGATTGGTTACTTTTCCTCTCTCTCTCCAGAAAGTAGAAAAACTTAACAAAACAAAATAAAAAGAAAAGAAGAAAAATCCTGAATTTTTAATAATTTTTACTGTTAGTTTATTCTTTTGCTCAATTCGACACAGTGTGCTTCTGTGTGCATTCAACAGTAAGAACCTGGAAACGTGTATGGTAGTTTCATTTTAGGTATAGAGTTTCTTCGATAGGGTCTTTTCACGTCATGTTCCCCTGCCTTAGCCTCCCAAGTAGCTGGGACTACAGGTGTGTGTGCCATCATGCTCAACTTTTAGTGTGATCTGGGATTCAAACCCAGGCTGCCCAGGTGACCTGACCTGCTGGCCCCGAAACTTTTTTAAGGTGTTTTCTTTTTTTTTTGAGAGGTATTTGCAATAGGGTGTGTGTGCTCACTGGAGAGACAGAGACAGAAAGTGAGAAATCACCCCTCTGGGGGAATGTCACACCACAGTCCCTTCTCCTTGGTTCTCTTCTTGGGATTCTGGGTATCCACGTATATGCACACAGTGTAAGTTTCAAGCTGCTGGATCCAGGATTCGAACTGTAGTCAACTACATGGGAGTCCAGTGACATAACCATTACGCTATCTGTGGAAACTATTTTTTAAAAATAGCTTTGTGAAGGTGAAATTTACACACTATACAATTCACCCCTGTAAGCATACAGCTCGGTGGGTTTGAAGACAGTTGTGCCATCACCACAGTCAGTTTGCGTCTGGCTTTCACTCTGGGACTCCTCCGTCTTGTACTGTGTGTCAGTGGTTTATTCCTTTCCACTGCCAAGCGGTATTCTGTATGAATGTGCCACATTTTCCTTAGCCCTTCTCTGAGCAGTGGACATTTGGGGTGTGTCTACTTTTGGGCGATGGTGAATAGTGCTCCTCTAAGCAGTGACTTACAGCTCTGTAGACGTCTCCTTGCATTCCTCTTCAACCCAAGTTTAACTTCAGAGTGTTAATCTTGCCATGAACTCTTCCCAGCCTGACAGAGGCCTGGTTCCGTGGTGTAGCAGTAATGCACTGCCCAGGAGAAGCTCAGTCCCACATGGTGACCACAGTTTGAATCCCTGGCTAGTCAGCCTGAAACATGCCAAGCACATACCCAAGTGCCCAAGCTCCAACAGGCTGGAGCGTTGGAAGAAGGGAACTGCTGCTGACCAGACCCTGCGGAGGGCGCTCCTAGCTATCTTCTCTCTGTCCTTCTCTTGCTCACGTGTGTCTGCATGTGTGCTGTCATGAATGAAGGAGAAAGAGCTGATGAGTAGTGAGGACGGATGTTCCCACAAGTCATGCCCCAGCACTTCCTGCCTGCCAGGTGTGGTGCTAGGCTCTGGAGGCCCTAGCCCCTCCCCGCCAGAGCCCCCTGTCTGCAGGAGCACCCAGCCACTAGTGGGTGGGTGGCCTCAGACCTGCTGGCTGTCAAGAGTCCATTTCACAGAAGGACCTTCATTTTTTGTTTTAGGGTCAATTTAGGGTAAAAGGAAAGGATTGGTGGTCTGCTAAAAAAAAAAAAAAAAGTTTAACTTTCTTTTAAGAATAAAGCGTCTGCAACTGTCTGCAACTGTGCGTAAGCGTAAGCATTCTTTTGTCATTCCCCTGTCACTAAAAGGTTTATTTTCTTTGGCTAAAATTTCAGGAACTGAGTAACCAGCAGTATCTGATTGTAATAGGGCCCTTTGGGCGGATCTCAGGAGACTAGCTGATGTTGTTTTTCCCCTGCTGGCCCTGGGAACTGCTCACTCGCACAATGTGTCATGATGGCTGCCATGTTCGGAACCTCTCCCCTTTCACGTAGGCGGATGGAGGGAGGCGGACCCAGCCCCACTGACATGGAAACGCGCCCTGTTCAGCCACCACTTTTCTCTCCCTGAAGCTGAGCGATCTTACTATTTGTGAAACCTCATTTTAAAACGGCCCTCCTCAGCTCCCTCTGTCTTGTGGGGGAAAGGCATTTGCTGAAGAGGGGGCAGCGTGAGCTGAGCATGTGTGTTGTTGAGCGGGAGTGTGCCCTGCAATTGGCCGGGCAGAGGGCAGCTAGGTAGCAGGCACGAGCCTGGGGACAAAAGGTGTAACTGAGTCTCGGAAAGCCAGACTGGAATGAGTAAAGCTCAGAGGAGGGTAGGGGGAAGTGGTTTCCTGTCATGTTGAGCACAGGAATGTGCTATTTGTGGAGTTGTGCTTTACCCAGCGGTTGAGTTTTTTGGCTTTTTTTTTTTTTAAGAATTATTTTATTTAACTTTATTTATCCATTTATTTATTTTTTAATTTGACTGGAGAGGGACAAAATGAGAGAGGGAGGGAGGGAAGAGAGGAAAGCAAGCCACCAGGTACGGGACTCGAACTGTAGTCGGCCATGTGGGAGTCCAGAACCCTTAACTGCCATGCCACCTGCTGGTCCCTGGTGGGTTTATTTGTTTTTAAGTGTTTTGCCATAGGGTCTGTGCACTCACCAGAGAGAGAGGGAAAGTGAGAAATCACCCCCAAAAGGGGTATAGCTATACTGCAGTTCCTTCTTCTCCATTCACCTCGCAGGATTTTGGACACACATGCACACGTGCCTGGCATGCTTTTCAAGCTGCCAGGTCTGAGACTCGGAACTGTGGAGTCAGCCATGTGGGATCCAGCACCTTAACCATCATGCTACTGCTGCCCAACTCAGGGATTGAGTTCTAGAGTCATCATATAAGCCTCTTTTCCCCCTTGCTTGTGAGAGAGAGTGAGGAAATTGGAAGAGAAGAGAGAAAAATTGGTATTTTTTGACAGTATCTGGCTATTTCCATCCACCTGCTCTGCCTCCCACTTAGCTAGGATTACAGGTGTGTGCTGTGGCCTGGCCTGTTCAGGTTAATCTGGGATCTGAACCTGCATGAATCAGGCTGTGATCCCTCTCCCCTGTCCTAAATCTCATCAGGATCTTGGGCACACTTACGTACCAACTGTGTCTGATGTTGACTGGGTATTCGGACCCATAGTCAGCCACGTGGTTTACTGCAGTGCAGTTCAGTGTGCTACCACCTACACCACCGAGGCCAAACCAGAGTCCGTGATTGCTAACTGTGGTCACTGTGGTGTACTTCAGCTCTCCAGAATTTACTCATCCTGCATGACAGAAACTTTGTATCTTCTGAACCCAGAATTACTGAGACTAAATCATTTCCCATATCCTTCGTCATTCATGATATGTTACTGATAAGATTTAAGAATTATTTAATTTTATTTTTTATTATTATTATTAGTTTCTTTTTAAAAAATTTGCTACAGGGCACGTATGCTCACCAGAGAGAGGCAGAGTGAGAGGGGGAAAGTAAGAAAGTAAGCCACTAGGTCCACACCAGGTCCAGGACTTGAACTACTGTCAGCCATGTGGGAGTCCAGTGTCCCAACCACCACATCATCCACTGGCCCCACTGATGAGATTTTTAAGATTCAGAACCTGTTCCAATATAGAAATAGAGTGCAGTATGAGCCAACCCCTTGACCTGGTGGTTAAGGGAGCTGAAGCCTAGGCCAGCTGGTGGCATGGTGGTTAAAGTAACTGGATCCTATGAGGCCTACTGCATGGTTCGAGTCCAAGACTGGCGGGGTTTTTTTTTTTTTTTTTTGTTTTTTCTATAGGGCATATGCCCTCGCCAGAAAGACAGAGAGAGACAGAGAGACAGAAAGTGAGAAATCACTCCCCTGGGGGGATGGCCACGCTGCAATCCCTTCTCCATCCTCCATTCTCCTCTGGGGATCTTGGACATGCACGCACATGCACCTGGCATGAGTTTTAAGCCACCGAGTTTAGGACTTGAACCGCGGTCGACTACATGGGAGTCCAGCAACATAGCCATTACATTAACTGCTGGTCTCAAGACTGGCGGATTGAGAAACATACTGAGTGTGTGTTTATGCTTGCCCAAAATCCCAACAGAGAGAAATGGAGGAAGGACTGCAGTATAGCCTACCAGGGGCATATACTTTTTCACTTTCCCCTCCTCTCTCTGTCAAGCATGAGTATGTCCTACAGTCTGTGGGCACCACTGGTGAACATATGTGCCGTCTAGCAAACTAAAAAGAGCTGGATCCCAATGGCCAACTGTGCAGTTTGAAATGCAGACCTAGTGGCCTCAAAAACACACTGGGCACATGTGCACGCATGCCCCAAATCCCATGATGGAGAAATGGAGAAGGGATTACAGCATGACCATGATCCATTTCCTCTCTCTCCCCCACCCTCTGTCTTTGGTGAGCACAAGGGCTCCCTGGCAGATTAAAAAAAGAAAAAGGGGCCAGCAGGTGACATGGTAATTAGGGTGCTGGACTCCCAATATGGATGAGGTTGGTTCGAGTACTGGACCTGGTGGCTTGCTTTCTCACTTTCCCTCTCTCTGTCTCTCTCTTGTGAGCACATATACCCTATAGGAACTTTAAAATATTAAAATATGAATAATAATAAATAAAATTAAATAAGTATTATTTTAAAAGGACTGTTTACTTAATTTCATTTTTTCCTTTATTTATTTTAATTTGACCAGAGAGAGACACAGAGAGAGAGAGAGAGAGTGAGAAAGTAAGGCACAAGGTCCAGGCCTTGAACCATGGTTGACCACGTGGGAGTGTCCAGCACCTTACCACCACGCCACTTGCTGGTCCCCACTAAATAATTATTTGGACCATCAGGTGGCATGGAGGTTTGGGTTCAAGTCCTGGACCTGGAGGCTTGCTTTCTCACTTCCCCTCTCTCTTTCCTTCTGTCTCTCTCTGATGACTACAGCAAGTTAAATAATAACAATAATAGTAAAATAAAACAAAATAATAATTTAAAAAAAAACAGGGCCAAACAGGTTCTAAAAAGAATCATGAAATGAATCGATGTCACTGGACTCCCACGTAGTTGACCACAGTTCGAGTCCCGGACCCAGTGGCTTAAACTCATGCTGGGCGCGTGTGCGTGCGTGCTCAAGATCCCGAGAAGAGAATGGAGGAGAAGGGATTGTGGCGTGGCCATCCCCCCTGGGGGGTGATTTCTCGCTTTCTGTCTCTCGGTCTCTCTTTGTCTGTCTGACGAGCGCGCACGCCCTATAGCAAAAACCTCTCCAAAAAAAAAAAAGGAATCATGAAATGTATAGAAAAGAGAGCAATCATTCATATTATAAAAGGAAACCATTTTCAGTTCACAGTCCAAAAAAATGTTGATCTTACGGGTTTTAATACTGGCAGAAGCTGGTTTCCTCTTATGACTCCTGTAACATAACCATTCTAGATACCAGCTAATTAGCCATAACCCGACCAAAACTAATGACCGATTCCTCCCATTCTAAGGAAGACACTGCCGACACATGCCAACACCCATCAAGGCTTGTCGTCTGCTTCCCCCTCCGTTAATTCTGCCAGAATTAAATCCCTAAGAGCCAGGACAGTAGGGCAGGGATAAAATCTCCTTGGGTGACAATAACAGTTTTGTTTAGTCCTTACACGTCATAGAGTGCTTCTGTTTTCAGAGACAATGAATTGAAAATGTCCGCATGCATTTTTTCTTGTAGCTTTATTCTTTCTTCCATGAGTGAGAGACAGTAAGGCAACCTTCCCAACAAGCTTCTGATGCCACCATCCACCCCCCGCCTTCAGCAGTCCCAGACTGTGGGCTGTGTAGGCCCATTGTACTCAGGGAGGTCTCCAGATACAAACCTGGAATCCATTGTGTGGATTAACCTTGCAGAACGTCATATTTTAGAGCCAGTCCTGTGGCCGAGCAGTTAAGGGAACCATATCTCTCATAGCTGACAATGCAGTTCAAATCCTGTCCCCTACAAGCTTGTGAAACACACCAGACCATGTGCACAGCATGTTCCCCAAACCCTGAAGGGATGAGAAATGGCAGAGAAGAGATTATAGTGTGACCATGTCCCACGGAGGTTGCTTTCTTCCTCTCTTTCTCTCTGTCCATTTCTCTCTGATAAATGCATACATTCTCTGACAAATTTTTAAAAATAGAGAACCCCACTTTTTTTTTTTTTCCTTAAGAGAGATTTTTGCTACAGGGCACTTGTGCTCACCAGAGAGGCAGAAAGCAAGAAATCACCCCCCAGGGGCATGGCCACGCTGTAGTCCTTTCTCCTCTAGTCTCCTCTCAGGATTTTGGGTATGCATGCACATGTGCCTGGCTTGAGTTTTAAGCTGCCAGGTTTGGGACTCAAACTGTGGTCAACTACATGGGAGTCTAGTGACATAACCACTACACCATCTGCTGCTTCCAAGAGCACTGTGTTTTACTGTCCGGCCCACATGCGTGCTTTCTGTGTGACAGAGGAGAGCTGCTGTTTGCTTGTCACTGTATGGGCTCTAGGGTCCCCAGAAATCATCTCACCCTGTCTATTAAACTGCTCTCTTTCATTTTCACTAGGCTGTTAATGAAACAGCAATATCTAGAACTGTGCTGTTTGGGACCTCAGCGTTTATTCCTGAAGTCTTCACTTATTTTTTTAAAAGGTAAGAGGTGCTGTCATCTCCCCAGGTAGGAATAAATGTTTTCATAGTCAGAAGTCCTTATAAAACTTGTCTGATTCAGAACCCGGTGGGCAGTTTTCCTTAGTGCTCTTCCTGCTAGCCTCCATCCTCACAGTCAAGACAGGGAGATTGGAGACCAGCAGATGGTGTAGTGATGATGTCGCTGGACTCCCACATAGTTGACTGTGGTTTGAGTCCCAAACCTAGCGGCTTAAAACTCACACCAGACACGTGTATGTGGGTGCCCAAAATCCTGAGAGGAGAATGGAGGAGAAGGGATAGCAGTGTGGCCATCCCCTTGGGGGGTGATTTCTTGCTTTCTCTCTTTCTGTCTCCATCTCTCTGGCGAATGCATGTGCCCTCTAATAAAAATCTCTCTCTTTTTTAAAAGATTTATTTATTTGTTTATTTTTCTCACAAGAGTTTTGCCAGAAAAAGACAGAGAGAGAGAGTTAGAAAGCAAGCCACCAGGTCTGGGACTCAAACTGCGGCTGTGGTAGCCCATGTGGGAATTCCAGTGCCTTAACCACCACGCCACCTACTGGCCCCATAAAAACTCTTAAAACAAACAAACAAAAACAAGGAGATTGTTGTCCAGCTGTGGAAGTCCCGGAAGCCCCGTGTGTATACTCCACCACACTGCCCATAGTTTGCTCTGTGTCGTGGAGGCCAAGACCAAGGGCCTGCAAGGGTATACTTCCTCACTTGCAGGAGGATGAATTTGTATAATTTGCAGGATCTCCTAGGTCTGATGTTGGAATATTGCTCAAGCCTACTGACCCCTCATTCCGTACATGTTTTGAATCAGCTTCCATGGCCCCACAGTCAGTGTAGGGTCATCCCTATTGAGAAGTAAGAAATGGCTTTTTAGGTGGCAGGTGTAGGACTCTGTCAGGGCTCTCGTTGAGGGCTTCCTGAATGAGAAACCCACCCTGCTCGAGCTTACTTAGGTCAGCAGGAGATGTGGGGGTTGAGGTACCAGTGTGGGAGGGAGTGTAGCCTGTGGCAGCCTGAGCAGTATCCGCCTTTCTTCCTCTCCTGCATGGGTGCTGCTCTCCTTCCTCTTGCCACAGATCGGCTTCTTCATGTTGATGAGGGACAGAATGGCTGAACACTCCCAGCTTATAGCCTCACAGCCTCCTAAGCAGAGGTAAAAATGCAAAAAAAATCTCAG